ATTTAGGCCAGTTGATGGAAACAGCATTTTAGGTACTCGCACTAATGATCCATTGATCAAAACCCCTTTTATTTTACTTAACGGCTATGAGAGAAATAGCGATCCGACCTTCACTCCTTGATTCCCCAGACCCATTTTCTTTTTTAAAAGACTTCTTTGCTCTTTTTACGGCTTTTATCAATTAAGTTAATTAAAAGATCGTTCGTACATGAGCTAACTATGCATTAAAGGATGCCAAAGGAAAATAAGAGAACAAAATTGTTTTTCGCTGACCCTCAATTTTCTTGGTTGCTCGCGGGTTGTTTTTGTAAATTACATTAATTTTAAAAACGGAGAAAACATTGGAATCTATCTTCTATTGTTTAGGAATTAAAACATGTGAAGGTGTCTTCTTAGAACTAATCAGAAAGCATAAATAATCGATGTATTTTTCACTTGGCGTTCTCTAGATTTTATAGCAAAACTTAAATGACTTTTTTCTCCCTCTGTAACATACAATAGCTAAGTAAGAATTTTTGCTTTTACTCTTGATATCTAATGCTTCTCGACAGTTTTTGGTAGCATTCTACTTGCTTGGATTCTACTTGACTTCTTCTCCCTTGCTTTGACACTAGAATTGTCAATGCTGCTTTGTTCGATCAAGCTGCCTGTTCTAATCAAAATTCAGCAAAACAAGGTAATTATTGGACACTTTAATTCTTTGTAACTTTTATTTGTCAGAAAATATGGCAAAATGAATTCTCACAATAGAGGCGTCTTTGCTTAATCTTTAGTTGGAATTTTATATAGGATTAAATCTTCAACTTATTTTCAAAAGATTCCCGTCTTTGTTCTTTAAAATATGATGGAGGGAAAACTATTTTATTTTTGATACGTGATCATGAAGACCGAGTTTGAGTCAGAACTCGTGAAACTCATGTAGATAAATTATACAACATATGCACCCACTGCTTCGACTAACACAAGAAAACTTCTTTTTCAAATAACATTTTACGATAATTTTAGTTCTGTTATTATCTTGTTCATATTTTTTAGACAGATCAGAGTGTCTCTCGCTCGTTCTGATTAGTTATTAATCAGTGTTTATCTATACGCTCGATCTGTCCAAGGACAAACTTTTGGACCGCTAATAATAACCACCGAGATTGAATTTTTAGCATGTTTCTTATTGATTGTTTCAGGACGAAATTGATCTAGATGAATTCTTCTCAAAATCTGAGCTGCTGCATGTTGGTGGTCCTTCCCATTTTTATTAGAACTCGCCTACAAAATTTCAAAACGAGTTAACTTCTTCCTACATTTTGGTTCGCTTTATTTCAAATTTCAATGAGCTATACTTGCCGAAAAAAAAAAAAAAGATCCCCATTAAGCCTAGGTTAACTGTTCACGTTAGAGTTTTGTTCTGAGCCCCATTGATGAACTGAAATAGGATATTCAAAGTGTTGAATAACCTTTCCTAATTGACTTGTGGCATCTTCGCATATTGCGGCGAACGAGTTGTCCTTAAGTATTAATTTCAGAGCTAAAAGTCTTCAACTCTTAAGTAGATGTACGAATAAAAAAACAGAGAGCTTTCGATCTGAAATGGAAAGCAATGATCAAAGTGGAACGGCATCTCCCGCCAAAAGATACCAAAGAAGCAACCAAGAAAATTTTAACCATTAAACCTACCGTAAAGAATGAATAAAATCCTTGATCTAACTCACACTTTAAAATGTTAAAGTAAACTCACCATGGTTTGCAAATGTAAAGGCATAAAACCAGCCTCCCAACAAAAAAAGCAAAAATAGGAGAGAAAGCATCGGGCAGCGACGACGCTTCATCTTCAGAGTCTTACGGAAAAGGAAGTTTCGCGATTATTCAAATATTTCTCATCATGATTAATTATCAGCAAGGAGTCTTCTCAATCTTTCTGTTTACAATTCCTCTCACGCCCTTTAGGCATGGAACTGTTCACTAATTGGTTTCTCTTTTTGGCTTAACTCTCGACCGAGGCTCATTTTGTATAAGTTGTGTCTTTTGTATTTAAGGTTGAGGTCAAAATAATTCAATATTTTTATAACTTGTGGTGAATTGACAAAAACACATTAAATTTAAGTTTAAGCTTAAGTTAATGATACTTTGCCAGGCTAATAAAAGTAAATATAATTACAGAAAATACAAAAACTGCATGACTGGAGAACAATTGGGGGAAACTGAATTCCCATACAGTGAATATTCTACAACGTTACAAATGAAGAAATGAAATTTAAATGCAGCCCAAAACTAACCTAACTGAATTGCACACTAAAATTGACGCTAAAAATTAAGAAGTAAAACTTGAATAAGGCCCAAGGCTAACCTAATCAAATTGCATACTTGTCACTCGCGAGTTGCACCTGATTTAAACCTGACAAATATGATCCAATAGATAGGACTTTAAACTTCTCAATGAAGGTGCATGCATAATGTTCGATAGAATACTATTCAAACTTAAAGTAATTTGCACGTGTCTTTTTTTAGATATAATTTGAATATATCAACAAATTTGAAATGGTAAATTGGCTACCGTTACGATTATAAAAGCTGACGTTTCGAGCGTTAGCCCTTCGTCGGAGCGAATAGAGGAATTGTGGTTTGTGTGTGCTTTTAAAGGCAGAAAATGGAGCTACGTTATTGGTGGGATCATGGCAACGAGAAAAACAGGAATAAATTAGTGGAATGAAAAGCGTTCGTAGATCCCTGTGGGATTTAGACTGCCGGTTTGAAAGATGACCTTTTGTTCAAGAAACGTCTGTATCATAACAAGGTCACCCTTAGCCTCAATCCTGTTCAAAGGCTTGGCCACCAAGCCCACAACTGTCAAAAGGACTATTGTTTAGTGCCTGACAAAGAACATAGCACGAGCGGCTAAACTAATTCCATTACCGAGAATACACGTTAGTATCTTGATACGCATTTTTGCTATCGTCTTGAACTTCTTTTTGATCCCCGGAACTGGAATTATACAAATTCACAGGGAAATATCATTATGCCTACCATTTTCATGAATTAGTGGGAGTGTTGGAGGATAAATTGTTTCTTAAATTGGGCCTAATGTACAATCAGGCCTACAATGATGCATCTCTTAATTCATTTGTTTTACTTCAAACAAAGTACAATACAGTACCAGCTTAATTGACACCTCCTACAGAGGGTTTTTCGGTGACAATGATCTAAAAATTACAAAAATTACAGTACGAAAAAGTATGATAGAAAAATTAAGGAAGCTAAAATTTTGATTAATGCTCGCCAAAGTTACAACTAAGTGCGATGAGAAAGGAAAGCAGCAAGTAATTTGGCTCTAAGTTTGCGCTTAAAATCACGAGAAGAATTACAGAGTTTGAGGGTATTATCTAAACTGTTCCATAAACTAACTGCATGATAGAAGAAAGTCCTTTGTACAGATTTAGTTCTATATAAGGGTATATGCATAAGTTGGGAGCTTCTGGTCGTGCGACCACTTAACTCACCACGTGTCACAAACCTCGAGGAGAAATAAGTAGGAACGGAGCCGGTCATACATTTAAAGGCAAGTATGGCGTCATGGAGATATAACTGATATTCAATAGGTAGCCAGTGCAGTTTTCTCAGAAGCGGAGTCACGTGGTCAAATTTTCTGAGACCACAGATAATCCGGCCTGCAAAATTCTGGACCGCTTGTAGCTTGAGAAGGTTACTGTCCGCTGCATTGGACCAGACGGAGGAACAACAAAACAACTTACTAAACACTAAAGTTAATTATTATCAATAAGGTCGATCTGTCAAACACGTGCTTAACACGATTCATTTGAGCTAAACTTGAGAAGTAAGGGGAAACTGTTTTAACAATATGCTCGTGAAAAGTAAGGCTCGAGTCAAAAGTCGCGTCTAGGTCTTTAACGACGTGCACCGGTATTAGTTCCTTCCCTAAGAGGGAGAGAAGAATAACCGGGATATTATTCAAATTTTGTCGCCTTCCATAAATAATAAGTTTAGTTTTATCAGGATTCAAGAGAGGACGATTTGCGACGCACCAGTTTCGAATCTGTAGAAGATCAGCGTTAAGATCAGCAACAGCCTTAGCCCAGTCTTGGACTGGGAAAGAAATGTAAAGTTCTATGTCATCGACGCAACTTTCAGTAAGACAGGACCGGGGGGTGAGGGGTAAATCTTTTACATAAATATTAAACAAAATGGGTCCGAGAACGCTTCCTTGTGGCATGACTGATACAACGGAGTGACGTTAGATCCTCCACTGCTCTTTAAATCATGTTACGGTATCGCCTCACTTTCAATCAATTGATTGCTTTCATCAAAGTAATACAATTCCTTCGAGAATCATAAGTTTATGGAACCCTTTTCATCAATTATTTTTGTTATTGTTGTTGCTCTTGTTGTTGTCCGAAGATCTCATATTTTTTTTCTCTGGTTCAGCTCAAAAAAGGAAAGTTCATGAACAGTTTAATATGTGTACAGCAAAAGAAAGGAAAGGATGGGAAGGGGAGTGGGCTCGAGAACTGAGAAGGGAAATAATCTATCATCATGATGGTCTTTTAAGACCAGTGGTTTAGTGTTAATGATGCTAAAAAACAAAATTCGATTAAAAAAAATAAATAAATAACTGCGCCCTAACCAATGTTTCTTATTTGTATGTCCTGATGTTTAAAAATTACATGTTCTTTTGTTTGACCTCTATCAGCTTAGACTAGCACTGAACTGGCAATATTCGTTTTATTGATTTCTACCACCATTGTCAGATCGTCCACCGCCTCCACAAGAGTCAAGAATATGAATATGTTACCACTGCTTCCTCCAGAGTACCCTCCTCCTCCTCCTTCTCCTCCTCCAGCCCCATCAGCACCTCCAACTCCTCCAAATCCACCAAGAACTTCGTAAACCCAAGATCTGCTTCCCAGCCCGCCCTAGAGAAATTCTTTTCCACCTTCTCCACCTAGTCCCATGGTGCCAACAAACTGCTTTGAACTTCTGCCGCTCGAGTAGAAACCTACCCCGCCGCGAACCGGTCGATAATAGTAACAAGAAAATAGCCGTTTACGTTCGCTTTTTATCAAGATTATCTAACGAAGGTCGATAATTATAATTATTGCTCAGGCAGATTTTATGACTAAATATAGATCTCTCTTG